TGTTTGCTGTGTAAGATAGTTTGTATAATTAATACTATTTCAAATATTTTTTCAAAATTATTTTTCTCCTAGTTATCCTAGTACAGAGACCCCATAATATGCGTATTAATACAAATGTCTGCACCATATGATCAATAAACAAGTGCATGCATTTTAAACTTCTAGACTTAAAAAATGAAGCAAATCCTACATACGTTGCACCCGTTTATCTGTAGCCATCTGTCCTGTACATCCTTGGAAAACTCACAGATGAAAAGGATTTTTCACAGACACACAAAGCAGGGGGCGGGGAGCTGCAGTTAAACATGGTACAAGAGTTCTGAGAGCTGATTGGAGGGAAGAGACACACCCCTTCACACAGCGCACAGGAACAGAGCTGAGGCTGTCAATCATAGGCTCTGTGCTGAAGCCCCCCCTTCACTTTTTTTTTTTGCTTAGTATTTAGAAAACTTGTCAAAAGTGATTCATGCTGATAGCAGAGTAACAAGACAGCAGAGAGAAATGACACTTAGGCCGGCCATACATGGGTCATATTCCGAACGATTTATCAATCGAAAACATTGTTCGTTCTGTAATCCAATGGTGCCACCAATGATTTCGAAAATCGGCCATTTTTCACAAATTTTCCAGCATGCCCAAAAACAAAATGGGGAGGAACCACAAAAATCATCCGGTGCCATTACCACACTAACAGAGCAAAAATAGGTCGATTATTCTTAGGTCCATGTTTCGAACGAAAAATCGTTCCAAAATCGACCCAAGTATGGCCGGCTTAGGGGGAGATTTATTAAATTGGAGCACTCAGAATCTGGTGCAGCTGTGCATGGTAGCCAATCAGCTTCACCTGGAAGCTGACTGGTTTCGATGCAGAGCTGCACTAGATTTTGCCTCATGCAGCTTTAGTGAATAACCCTCTTATGTAGGCCACAGATGGGTCGAAAATAGGCTGATTTTTCGGCTGAAAAAAAAAAAAATCGCCCGATTTTCACACCGTTAATGGGTTAATTGGTCGGCCGTTTTTCTGGTTTTTGGCACATTTTTTAAATCAGTAAAGTAGGAAAAGAAATCGGCCGATTTTGCCGATTGGCCGATTTTCGCGGCAATGATGGGCAAATTGGCCGATCTTTTTACCGATAAAAAATCTGCGCATGAGCCGTGACCTGCAAGAAAAAGAAGAAGAAGAAATAGAAGAAGAAAAAAGAAGAAGAAGAATTCCAGTCGCTATTATATTTGACATGAAAAAGTATTGGGGTTGCAACATTGTATCTATTTGTATCCGAATAAAAACATCTGTATCTGAAATGGATACAAATGGATACAATGTTGCAACCCCAATACTTTTTCATGTCAAATATAATAGCGAAGCTCTCTGCAGGGACAGAAGTAATTAAATGCCGGCCGTAGATGGGACGAAAATCGGCCAATTTTTTTTTACCGTTGGTGGTAACGTCGGCCTATTGAACAACCGATTTTTCCTTTTTTTAAAAAAAAAAACTGCCGGTTTTCGACCCATCTATGGCCTGCATTAGTGTTTTGGAGGGAGGCAAGTAAACACTACAAAAATATATGCTTTGATCAGATTTCATGTCTGAGGTTTACAACCACTTTAAGCATTTTCCCGGGCAATGACTGTAATTCACTGCCCGGCCTGGAACAAAATTAATACACTGGCCATCCATTGCTATCAGGTGAAATAAAAGATTAGACTGTGTTAGATTAATAAATCATTAATATTTCCTGGCTAAAAATTATGTTTTCAAATATAATTGTTTTCAAACATAGGTGTGTTTGTGTGTGCAGCGAAGGAATTTTTTTTTTTTCCTAATAAACATTTTTATATTTTTTCTTTTTTTTCTTTCCTTTTTCCACTTTTTAGAACTAGCGCAGGTCACTTACTGTGAAGAAATTTACTTTTTACAGATGAAAGACAGGAAGTGGTTAAAGTGAAAACTATAATGGTTTATGGTCAAGTTTATTTTATCTGATTTTTAAACATGAATATGTTTTGAACTGAAGTTTTATATCTTTTTTTTTTTTTTTTTAATATACAGTACTTATTCTAACAAGTTAATGCTGATGCCTCTCCGGGTTCTCCATCCACCAAAGAACCTGGAACTGAAGCTGCCTCTTCCACCACCATACCACAGAGCTTTAGGAGGACCAGAAACTGGAAACGGCCTGTACATTGTCCCTACCTCTTTCCCCAGATGTAAACAGCATCATTTTTACATTTGGAAAAATCACTGATATTGGTGTGATCAGATGATTTTAAGATCAAAGAAGACATCTGGGTTCCAATAGACCCCAAATCTCAGGGTACCTGTCACTGCCTATTGCTGCCACAAGGGATGTTTACATTCCTTGAGACAGCGATAATAGTGATTCAAAAATAATTAAGAAACAGGGTAAAAATAAAAAATAATGAAATAATAATATAAAAACAAATTACCGAAAACAATAATTCCAGGGCCAGACCCAGGGGTGTATTTACCACAAGGCGAGCAAGGCATTTGCCTAGGGTGGCATTTTTCAGGGGGGCAGCAGCATTTTTCAGGGTGGCAGCGCTGCTCCCCGAAAGAAGGGATAGAAGAAGGGACACATACTGCATGGGGACCAGGTGGGATCTAAGAGAGGCTGCGGGCTGCTTGATGGTGTATGCAGAGCCTGACTCTTGTTCCAGGGGATTCCCAGAGCTGTGAAGGTGAGTGTCTTATCTCTTCCCAGGGTGGGGGGTTGCCAGTGTATGGGGGGGCGGTGGCAGAGGGGGATTTACCACAAGGCAAACAAGACACTTGCTTAGGGCGGCATTTTTTAGGGGGTAGCATATCCACCCAGAAGATGGGATGGAAGAAAGGACACGTGCGCCACGGGAACCAAGTGGAATCTGAGAGAGGCTGTGGGCTGCTTGATGGTGTATGTAGAGCCTGACCAGGGATGTCCAGAGCTGTGAAGATGAGTGCCTTTCTTTCTCTTGCTGGGGGGGTTTAGTGGAAGGCTCTCCCGGGGGGGCAAGGGTGTTGTTGGTCAATGTCAGCCTCTCTCCTCGGGAGGGGGAAGGGGGGTGGTGGTGTTGGTTAATGTCCATGGGGCAGACGATCTTTGTGTTGCCTAGGGCAGCACAAAACCTAAATGCACCACTGGCAGTGGAAGGCTGTCTCAGGTGGGGTGGGGGGGCTGGGGTGTTGTTGGTCAATGTCAGGCTCTCTTTGTGGGGGAGGGAGGTGTTGTTCATTGTCAGGGTCTCTCCATGGGGGGGGGAGCCAGTTTTTGTGTGCCTAGGGCAGCACGAAACCTAAATACACCACTGGACTCCTGTGTAACTCTCCACTGGTAACCTGTAAGGACTTTTAAAGCGTCGCCTATGGAGATTTGGAGATTTTTAAATACCGCAGTTTGGCTCCAGTCTGCAAGTGTGTGCAATTTTAAAGTGTGATATGTTAGGTATCTATTTACTGGGTGTAACGCCATCTTTTATATTGTACCAAAAAATGGGTATAATATTGTGTTTGTGTGTATTAAAATTTAATAAAGTGTATTTTTCTTTAATTTGTGTTTAAAAAAAAAAAGACGCTGCTCAAATACCGTTTGACATAGCAAATTTAGAAAACCCACCATTTTATTCTCTAGCCTCTGCTAAAATAAGCAAATAAATAAATATATATATATATATATTCATTTCATGAAAATATCAGTGCAGCGCAACTCTCTAGGACACCCACCCTTTTATCAATAATGAACCAATATTTGTGTGACAAATATATATACTGTAAGTATCCCCCAAACTTAAAGTCCATAAATCATCCAATCACTGAACCTAAATAAATTCTGTGAATATCTTTTCCTTTGTCAGTGTTCGGTGCTCCTCCACCAAAGCAGGTGAAAAAACTGCTCACCTCAAAAAAGATAATATGCGCTCATCTGGGTGTTTTCAGACTCCTCAGTCTCATGTAACAGAAAGACCAATACATAGTGCTCTCCATATAACACTTTATTGAATCCCCCACTAAAAATTTCTCTTACAAATACAATACATAAATCGCATAAAATGTGTCCATATCCAGCTCACCGCGCCACTAGCAAGATGGTGGCGGCACGATAACACAACTCCGGCTCCGGAAGGAGGAGAGAGGTGAGATTGTCTGTGTTTGTGTTCAGCAAGTAACAGGGGGTTGATCTATTTCATTTATTTAAGTAGTAGCTTTAGGTAGGGGGCGTGATGGATTGCGCCGATTGATCACAGTTGGTTGTTTTTGAGCATAATTTATATATATTTATTTATTTTAGGTACAGTTTACGCAGCGCTTTATATATCCTAGATTGTAAGCTCCTAGGATCAGGGCCTCCTAACCCTCTTGTGTTGAACTGTATTGTTGCTGTATTGTCTCCCGTTATATTGTAAAGCGCTGAGCAAACTGTTGGCGCCATCATGTATAATAATAATATATATTGCACATTCACATCAGTCCCTAACCCTCAAGGGGCGTACAATCTAAGGTCCCTAACCCTCAAGGGGCGTACAATCTAAGGTCCCTAACCCTCAAGGGGCGTACAATCTAAGGTCCCTAACCCTCAAGGGGTGTACAATCTAAGGTCCCTAACCCTCAAGGGGCGTACAATCTAAGGTCCCTAACCCTCAAGGGGCGTACAATCTAAGGTCCCTAACCCTCAAGGGGCGTACAATCTAAGGTCCCTAACCCTCAAGGGGCGTACAATCTAAGGTCCCTAACCCTCAAGGGGCGTACAATCTAAGGTCCCTAACCCTCAAGGGGTGTACAATCTAAGGTCCCTAACCCTCAAGGGGTGTACAATCTAAGGTCCCTAACTCACATTCATACATACACATACTAGGGACAATTTAGACAGGAGCCAATTCACCTACCTATATATGTCATTTTTGGGGGTTCTAAGTAATCTTCTAGCAAAAAAGATGAATTTTACATGTAAGCAAAAAAATGTCAGAAAAGACCCGGTCTTAAAGTGGTTATGTGTTGTATGTGAACATGATTTTGCTTTCTTGCAGCATAAGGACATTAAGCCTAACGAAGAACTACACATCCTTTTCGGAATTCTGTATTGTGCCATTTTTCTCTAATTCGGAGGATGACGGTTTAATTTCAAATCTGTTTGTCCTAATATATGTGGTTGGGCTTCTAATAAACTCTGCCATCATAATAGTGATATATAAAAATGATCACTTACATAATCCCATGTACTTGTTTCTCTGCAATCTGTCTATTGTGGACATGTGCTACACAACGGTCCTTGTTCCTAAACTTCTCTACATACTGATTTCAGGGGATAATGTTGTGTCCTTCACCCAGTGCTTCATCCAGATGTGCTTCTTCTTCTGGATAGGAAGCACGGAAGACCTTCTGTTATTTATTATGGCTTATGACCGATATGTCGCCATTTGTGACCCTTTACATTACCACTGTGTCCTAAGTATGAGAGTCTGTATCTTACTTATTGCTTTTATTTGGGCTTCTGGGTGTCTAAATTCGCTATTGATTTCAATATCTGTCTCAAAAATGTCTTTCTGCCGTTCTATAATTCATCACTTTTTCTGTGACTCAAAAGCACTCACCAAGATCTCCTGTGGGGGCACAGAGCTATTCTACGTTGTCATGTACATTGAATTAGTGATGTTAGGATTGATCCCGTTTACTTGCACTTTTGCATCCTATATGAAAATAATCAGGGTTATCTTAAACATTAAGTCATCTGACGGAAGGAGCAAGACTTTCTCCACTTGTTCATCCCACCTCATTGTTCTCTTAATCTATTATGTTACAATTGCGACTGTGGTCATGATGCCTTCATCAAAGTACTCTGAGCTCTTGGAACAAATTTTTACAATGTTGTATTCTACTGTTGCACCTATGGTCAACCCTTTGATATACAGTCTTCGGAATCAAGATATTAAAAAGGGTCTGCTGATCTTAGTAGGGGTAAAGAAAACTTTCCATTGGGATTTTTCTAATTAAGTAAGAAACTACAGGGGCGGACTGACAACTCATGGGGCCCCTGGGCAATAGGGGATCATGGGGCCCCTGTGTCCTTGCCCACACCCAAAAAAGCCTATGAAAAAGGTACCAGGGGCATCTCATGGGGCCCCCTACTGGCCCCAGGCCCTCGGCCAGTGCCTGAATGCTCGAATGGTCAGTCCGCCCCTGAATAAGTATTATTATAATGTCAGTCAGTCAGTATTATTATAACGTAGTGAGTCAGTCAACTGTAAGAGTCTTCAAAACATGCTTGGGGCAAACATAGATCAATACTCAGAAAAAAAAGTTAACAAAATAAAATATAAAAAACAAACAAAAAGGGAAAGTGGAAGGGCAGACTCCATGGACCACTTGGTCTTTTGTTCTGCCAAGTGGTCCATGGAGTTTCTATAGCTTACAAGCTAGTTTGCTGCCCACTTGACTTTTTGTTCTAGCTTTTAGTTAGACTAGTGTTCCTCTTTATTTGCTTTTTATTTGTTTCCTATGCCTCTGCCCAATAAAGAAATTCAATTTTGTATTCAAACTTTGTGTTGTTACTCCTGGAGAGAAAGCATGAATTTGTTCAATTAGTTTTCAATAAAATTGGACCTTTTTGCCAGCACCTGTTGCTGCCACATGATTTTCGTACACAGTCATTTGCTGATGTAAGCCTTTAATTTTGTGGGCTTGATACATTGTATCCATACAGCTTCATTTAGATATTGTACAATGATCCTGTCATGTTTCACATGACTGTCATATGCCTTTAAGTGTTTTCTATATTTTGTCTCTGCTCCTCCCTTTCCTCTGGTTTAGTTAATACTGTACAGTATAGATAGCCCACCCCTTTTCCCAGAAAAGCATTGCAGCTTCTAGCCTCATGTCATGAAGCAGATCACATTATGATCTTCAATGTTCATTGTTGTAAGATTCTCTCAGTTTATGGAATAAACTTCACAATATCTACAAGATGTCTTCTGAATTGAGTGACTGCCTGTGTCATTCAGCTAAGATTGGAGTTATCGCTATCTCATCACAACTGTAAGTTACAGAGTTCACACTTTCAATGCTTAGATTGGAGAGACAGAACAGTCAAAAAGTCAGTGAAATGTCTTCATAGAATCCTTGCTAGTTTAGATACACAGTCAAAAGATCAGTCAAAAGATCAGTGAAATGTCTTCATAGAATCCTTGCTAGTTTGAATACACAGTGAGATGGTATATGGATACTGGATATAACAGCTACAGAGAGTGCAGCCATCTCTACACAAGCCTGTACATGTCTGCAAGTATATCTCAGCATAATACTCATCAGTGTCAGGACAAATTATTGATGTTGTCAGGGTCCTGTCCACGGCAGAAGTTCTGGAATATCTGGCATTTCTGCCAGTACTCTACATGGCCGCAGAAGCACACATCAGCCTCAGTCTGGTGCCAGACGGCTTGTATAAGGAGGCTCATAACTTCCTCAAGTTGCTTGATTAACCCCAGCTCCCCATGCCCTGTTCCTGGTTCCTGTTTCCTGTGATTCTGACCTGTGATTTCCTGTTACTGACCCAGCTTGCTCCTGGACTTGTCTACTCTGCTTTACCCCTGATCTGACCTCGGCTGGGCTTACAGATACTCTCTCGCTCCTCTGTGTATGACCTCGGCCATCCCATCTGACTACGCCTGCTCTGATTCCCACCTGGTACCTGACCTTGGCTTGAACCGACTACCCAGTAAACATCTAAGTTCCGGAAGGGCTTGCATACCATGCACAGGAGCCTCCTGTCTGCAGACCTATCTCCGTGCACCAGCTATGCTTCTGAGTGGACCACCAACCAGCACTCCTACAGGCGACCTGTGCAACTTTGGGTCTGACTCCCGCTGTCCCACTCTCAGGGGAGTCCAGAACTTAGCTGCAAGGGAAGCCCTCTCTCCATTGGCCTCCATCACCAGGTACGTGATAGATGTGAATGTCTTACAACTGCAAGTTTATATACTGCATCTCTATGCATTAGCACATGGCTTTGTCTGAAATTTTAAGACAGTAAAATAAACTTTTCTGCAACCATTGCCTAGGAAACCTGAGCTCACCCACAGAAAAAGTGATACATTTCTCTGTAAACTTTCTATCAACCCCTCTCCTTGCTAACATGATGTTTCAGGAAAGTAATATACAGTCTGGGGAAACCAATACACAACCACAATCAGAGCTTCATCCAGAGCAGGGCTTAAACCCTGAATTAGATAAAAGAGAAAACGCTTAAGAAATCCAACCTGTAAAGTGCAAGAGAATTTTAATACTGACAAGGAAGAATTGTTGTCTAATATTAATGACTTCTGGTCTAATACTGTTAAATGCATGTCTGCTCTCTCCCAGCAATCTCATGAGCCAATACAACTAGAGGGCACTATCCAGCATTGAATGTTGCTTATGAGAATTATCAAAGACTGTGTGTTAAATATATTGCTCTGTTAAAGCAGTACAACACTCAAGGGTCATTGGAAGAATTAAGGAGTTTTGAGGAGCTCAATCTTGAATGGTGCGAACAAAGACAAAGGCAGAAGTGAGAATAACACAGCTCCATGAATCCAGATCTTATCACTCTGCATCTACTAGACGCTCCTCAAGATCTTCCAAATCCCCACAATCAAGGTCTTCTACACTCAGTCAACAACTAATAAAGCCCATGCTGATGCTCAGACACTCAGTTGTATCTTATATCACAGATTCTTCACACACCTCTCCAGAACGTCAACTCCCTGTTACAGCAGCCAAAGTACTCAATCATAGTCTCTTCTCTGCACCTATCATACCTCAAGACAATTTGCCCTTATATCCTCCAATACATCAGACTGCAGCATCTCAGCTAGCTGCAGGCACTGGTATGTATTTAATAGACCGTCCACCTTACTTTGGCACCAACAGAGTGCCTCCTAGCAAGCGCACTACTCTACAAACCAACATGCCAATGGACTTTAAATCAGCTCCGGCATTGAATGCCTTAGCAGCAACATATGTTCCCAAGTCACTCCACGTAAGTCCACCAACTGTCACAATCAACTCTGTTCCACCTGCAGTCATGCACCCAAAATCTGAAAACATGGACATGTCACAGTTTGCTAAATACATGCTCCGCAGAGAGCTTGTTAAGACAGGCCTCACCAAGTTTAATGACAAGCCTGAAAATTACAGAGGTTGGAAATCCACTTTTAAAGGCCACAATGAGTGACCTAGACATCAATGCCACAGAGGAATTAGATCTTCTCATCAAATGGCTAGGTCCCCAGTCCACTGAACGCATCAAGAGGCTCAAAGCAGTTCATATTGACAACCCTGCTGCAGGCCTTAATGCTGCTTGGGGCAGACTTGAACAGTCCAGCCCAGAAGCTATTGAAGATGCCTTATTCAAAAGGTTGCAAAGCTTCCCAAGGATTTTGGCTAGCGACTATATAAAGTTTCAAGAATTCAGAGATGTTCTGTTAGAGCTTCAACTTGCTAAGGCTGACATCAACTTACCTGGTCTCAGTTACCTTGACACCTCTCATGACATCAAATCTATTGTTCTCAAGCTACAATATGGAATTCAAGAAAGATGGGCAGCGCTTGGATCAAAGTATAAGGAAGAACATAGAGTTGCCTTTCCTTCTTTTTCTACTTCTGCGAGTTCATCAAAAGAATTGCAGACACTAAGAATGGCCCACATTTCTCATATGGGAACTGTAACCTTCTCAGTACACTCTCTCCAAGACCTAGAAACACACGTAAGTCGCACGGAGACCATAAGGGTTGTCTTGGAAATTCGCTTTAACGAATTTCTCCTTACCGTGAGTACTCGCAGTTGGATGTGCAGAAATCCCCCATAAAGCTGTGCGAATCTCGCTTACCACGACTGCAGCCAAACTACACGATTCCTGCCCATCCAAATACTTTGGTTCTGTTGAATTTGTGGGTGATGGAGCTCCGTTACCCTGGAATGATCACACGACACTCTAAGGCTGGTTGCAATCCACATAAGGGCCGGCTTTATGCTCAGCTCTCTGTTTTTATTAAAAATACACACATGCCCCCCACATGAATAAAGTCAATCCCTCCCACCGAACAATACAATGGGGATTGCCTATACAGAGGATATACATTCCAATTGGAGCATAGCCTTTGCTATTATCTATCACTGGTCCTCCCCCATGAACCTTCTGAGGTCAGCAGACTTCCTCCCCTTCCCCCCTATGAGCCATCTGAGGTCATATTTCCTGTCCTACTAGCTTCTATTGGTATGTAAAATTCTCTGCACAAGCACTCTTTAAAAATATATCAGTCTGTACCTGGATGGGCCCGATACGATCTTTATTAAAACACATCCATCCAAGATACAGTTTCAAGTTGGTAATGGGTTGTAAGATATGCATAAGCCTACACGTGGAGTTCACACCGCTTGCGCATTGCGTTATGAAGCCCACGTGGTACCATGCTGCTGATATGTGGATACAGGCCCACGGTCTACTGACAGCAGCATTCGCATGGAATGCCGTGGTGGTATACACGCCGGTCTATAAGCGCAGATCTGCCATCTCATCCATTACCAAGCCGAGTACTGTAATACATACATTGTACATGCGCATGGCCCAATTGCAGCCTTCAGAGCTTTAATTAAGCC